TTTGCATAAAGCAGAAGTGTCACTGTTAGTGTCATCAAGTGACTAACAATTAAACAGCTGTACAGGCTTTGAACAATTTTAGCTTTTTATGCTTCCACACCAGCGACAGTCAGTTTGGTGGTCAAAGGTCAAGGTCACTATGACCTGTGGCTCATTTTTGTGAGCACAATATCTTAAGAGGGCCTTGAAGGAATTTCTTCAAATTTGGCACAAACATCCACTTGGACTCAAGGATGTAAACAGGACACTACAATGACTCACTATTGCCTCTTGAGATACATGTGGTTAGCTTGCTAATTTCAGTCAATATCTTCGCAACACAATACAAAGATTTCTTCGATAAGTCAGAATTGTTTCTGTTTCACCATCTGTTGATAATGTTAGTTCATTTTTTTGTGAATGTTTTAAACTAAAATGCTGGCCATGTCTTACATATTGCATTTTAACATACATTAATCTCACCTATGCAGACTTATAAAACATTTGAATTTATATTTATATCAGAATCAGAATCAGAAAAACTTTATTGTCCATTGCAAAGCAGTGGAAATTCGTCTTTGACGTGGCTCACAGAATAAATAAAACACAGGTTAAAAAATACATAAAAAGACATAAAAGACATAACAGTGTAGTTTAAAGCAACACAAAGAAAACTAAGAAAACTAAGAACACTTGCTATAGGTGAGTCATATCCTTACGATTTATTGATAATGTTGATTGCACTTGGAATGAATGATTTCTTTACTATGTTTGTCCTTGCTATAGGTACCTTGTAGTGTCGGCCAGATGGGAGGAGTTGAAATGAACTGTGGAGTGGGTCTGAGGGGTTGTGTATGATGATTGGCTTTCTGTTTGACTACCTGTGCGTGGAAATCTGTCAATGAGGTCTGAGTGGTGCCTGTTATTTTAGTAGCATGTTTGATGACTTTTGACAGTTTGGATTTATCTGTAACAGAAAGAAAGGTGTACCAGGATGAGATGTTGTAGGTCAGGACCGACTCAATGAGTGATTTGTAAACAACTGTTACAAACAGTTTTGCGTACATTAAAATTATATAGTACCGTATTTCAGAAATCCATCTTTATTTTAGGAAGGGCTAATTTTAGCTCATTGATTTGAGAATATAAATACATATAAACCATTATTATCCATTTTAGTTCATCTTAAGCCCTAAAAGAGCTTTGATGTTTTCCTCACCAAATATACTGCAGTACAGTATGCATAACTCTCCCTAAATGACATGAGGCATGCAGTAATCATTTGTCCTGTATATCCACTGTGCTGCCAAATTTACAGTTTGAATGATTGTAACTGCATGTCAACACGAAAATTGCTTGTCCATAAGCCATGCAATATATTTTCTCATTACAGCATTATAGGCCTTAACGGTTTTAGTGGTTTGCTGGGATGAGGTTTAATTGTGTTTTGTGTTTTAAGCAAATGATTTTGATGACTGGCCCCTTTCACTATACAACAACCCATAATCAGCTGTATGAGGCTGTAACCAGGGCCTGCTGCTGTACCACACAAAATGAATAGGACCAACACTCTACAGCCTCTCTCACTCTCGCAGAGGACTGTTAGTGGCTCTCATCAACACAGAGCTCAGAATTTTTTAAAAAACGAAATGACTCAATCATTAATTCTCCGCTAAACTGTCAAACTAAAGTGTTTCCTCCTTCAGATGTAAGACTTCAAAGGGGGGAAGTCGCGGGTTTCACCCAATTGCCTGGATTTTAGTGTTAATTCTTAATTACTCATAGTTGTAATTAAGATTGAACACAAGGCTTTTCAAAGGGAGGGGAGCTGTAGTCGTGACTTCAGCAGTGCAAAGGCAATTATGGGAAAGAAACAGATAGTTCAGTTCCAGTTGTGATGTAAAAGGATTTGTGTGATGAGGGCGGTGTAGGTAGGAAGTGTGCAGGAGATTCAATGTGAGTGTTAGGGATAAACTGTATTGTTCATTTTTTAGAAAGTTGAGTGTTTTACCCAGGTATCAGGAAATTACATGTTTTCCTCTTTTGGGACTTGAATACTGGATGTTTTGTGGTATTGACTGAACTTGCTATTTGTACAAGTTCTAAACTTGGAATTTCTTGTTGTGGAAGTACTGTAATGTAAGGGCACAGTGTGTTAGTGCTCATGATGGATTTTCCCTCAGATATCTGACTGAAAAGAGATATGTAGTCAGTATCGATAATTTTGAATCTGAAAGAATCGTTATGGCATTTGGAGTCCCACAAGCATCTGTTCTTGGGTCCCTTCTGTTCAATATTTACATGCTACCGTATGTTGAAATTCTCCAAGACTATAAATTTGCTTGTCATAGCTATGCAGATGACTCATTGATCTACTGTATTAAGAGTGGGTGTGTGTGATATATCAAATATATTAAATGTATTGGGACATGTTTCACATGGTATGTATAAAATGACTATATTGCAATCATTAGTATAAATGGTCATTTTTTTAAGCCATGGGCATGACACTCTCTTCGGCATTTCAGTTCTCCTGCTCGATCATGTGGCTCTTTCCCTCTCACAGATGCATAAAGAAACACTCTCAAACATGAAACTTCGCACACACTCCTTCACTCATCCAAATCACTTTCTCCTGAGCAATAGAGTGAAAGCAGGCGAGGTTTGTTTCTCATCTGCAGAGCTCCTGACCACTACTATTAAGTCACAGTTTGTGACCATGGAGCACTACTGCAACTTGTAAATCTTATTAATATATGGACTGGATAGCTTTTAGTTTGTTTCCAGTTTACAGTAAATAAATCATCATGTTTAATTGCCCCACGATAACAGTTTAACTTAATGAGATTAACAATTGAGTAAGCAGAGGAAGCACGTCTTTGTACCTGCAGAGCTCCTGACCACTACTATTTAGTCTTATTTTGTGACCATGGAGCACAAATGCAACTTGCAAATATTATTAATATATGGACTGAAGAGCTGTTAGTTTGTTTCCAGCTTACAATAAAAAAGTCCTCATGTTGAAAGGCGCAACAGTTTAACTTCAAGTTTACAGCAAGAACATCAACACATGTGGCCCGAGACAGGCTAGGGGCTTCAAAATAAAAGCACCAGTGGTTCTGCTTTTATTTTTCTTTAATAATGACAACACATTTTTCAGCTTTATTATAACAGTACTTTATTGAACTGTATTATGAGTAGTACTTTATTTACTTTAAAATGACAGTAGCTACTTTATTTAAGTTTTGTAAGTGTGGTTCATTAAATCATTTTTGTATTTTAGTAGTTTACAATAGTTTAGAGGAAATTTCAAGATATTGCGGAATATATTGTGTATTGCAATATACCCAAAAAATTTTATTTTTCATGGCATATCACCCAACCCTAATCTAGCGCTTTAACCAAGTGAGTATTGTCCTATAGATTCACTTTCTTCTGTTCCTTTTGCAACAAAATTTCCGCCAATTATACAAAGATAAGACTGAAATATTTCTCCTCAGCAATAAAAAAAGCAAGGCTAGTGCTTAGTGCTTACCTTAATCCTAGAGGACTATAAACAAACACCTAAGTCAAGAACCTTGATGTAATCACTGATGACAATTTAAATTTCAGTGGCCACATTAAATCTGATAAGAAAATCACTTTTCTGGCGTCTTAAAACAGTGAAAGTTGGAAACTTTGTGTCCAAGCAAGATTTAGGAAAAATTAGCAATGCTTTTATTTCTTGTCAAGTGGACCACTGTAATGCACTCTTTCCTGGTCTCACCACTAAGACCATTACAGCTAAACAAGACTGTTACAACTCATCTGAAATACTGCTGGTAGAATACCGACAAACACCAAGAACAGAGAAACATCTCTCTAATTCTTAGATAGCATTGGTGTTCAGTTAAATATAGAATTGACTTCAAGGCCCTAGTTATTATCTATGTATAAGTCACTTGATGGTCTGGAACCAAAATATATAGCAGATATGTTTGCTGAGTACAAGCCAGGTAGGTCTCTCAGGCCTGTGGGGACTGGTCAGTAACTGGTGCCAAGAGTTTTTTCCAAATGTGATGAAATGGCTTTTAGCCATTACGCTGCCCACTGATGGAATTAGCTCCCCTCAGAGCTAAGATATGCCCCAACTGCAGCCATTTTTAAAACTGAGCCAAAGTCTGCTCTATTTTCCACATCTTTTAATAGCTTCTTTGGATATAACGTCATACATTGTTGTGCTTTGCAGATGGAGGGCATGCAACTGGAAGCAGAGACTACCAGCACTGCACAGATGCCTATGATTTGTGTAGTTTACGGCTGTTCTACTTAATCAAATTGGGGGAAAAACAAGAACCACTTTAAGTCCTGAAAATTGTAGGACATAACAGATAAAAGTTTTTAAAAAAAACTCACTGAGAAACAGCTGCAGATGTGGATCAAAAACCTCTGACTTCAGTCTGGCGGAGCAGAGCCAACTACTGTCAAAGATAACCTTTATAGCATTGCGTGAAACATGCCTCAAATTGGAAACAATTACAATGTGCTGTGACAACTTCTCCATGTTTTTAGCCATGACCCAAGTTTTTAACAGCGTTTCACCAGACCTCTGGGAATGGTTGACCTAGTACCGTTAGGTAAAAAACAGCAGCAAAAGTTAACAAATGTTAACTAGTAAGGTTAGCCTGACAGCAGTGTATCCATGAACAAGGTTGAAATATAATAGATTGCTATACTCAGGCACATTTACTCGCCTGGCCTAAAACAAGGGGTAGTCATTTTGGTCATGTTCACAACTGCACACATAATACTCATACTCCACTAGACTCCTGTACGTTTTCATTGGTTCGCTGTGTAACATTAGTAACATCAGGGGGTCTTGAAGATGAGGTAATTAGTAACAAAGATATGAACACATTCAACATGAGTTTCAATTTTCTGACTTAACTTGTTGCCTGCGGGTTTTGCTGTAAAGCACTTTGAAAAGCCTTTGTATATGATAAGCAGTTAAATAAATAAACCTGTCTTACCTTATCTTTTAGGATCACCACAACAGCTGCCTGCATGATGGACTTGCGCAGATACCCACTGGATGAGCAGAACTGCACCTTGGAGATTGAGAGCTGTAAGTGACACTGCGTTTATGTGTTTGTGTGTGCATGAATGGTCATAGCATGAATGCAAAGTTTGGCCTCAGCTACCAAATTGTCATGATCCGGATATTTGTCCATATTTTGTTATCTTGTGGACTTTGTTTTCTTCTGTATGTGTTTGTGTTCCTCCTCATTTCATGTTATTTATTCGTGTTTAATACAATTCCTGTTTTAGTTTATAGATTCTCTCCTCATGTGTCATGTCTCGTTTTACTTCCTGTCTTTGTGTGTTTTCCCACCTGTTTTCTATCACACTTGTCCTCCATCAGTCTCGGTAGTCCTTCCCTGTTCCCAGTCTTCCCTTCACACCTGTTGTATATGTGTCTTGTCTGCTCCACCCTAGCATTCCCAACCACACCCTTGTTTTTCTGCCAATCTCCATTTCCCACATTTTGCCTGTGTCCAGTCCACCTACTTCAGCTGTGTCTCATTTTTTAGTTTCCTGTGTATATATACTGTGTGTTTCTCTTTGTTCCTTGTCACTTCGTCTGTGGTGTCATTTCCTGTATGGTCTCTTGTGTTCCATTTTGAATTTCTTCCCTGAGTTCATCCCTCTGTTCATTGTGCTTCCCTGGTTTGTTTCAGTTTAAGTTTTGGTTGTCCTTTTCTTTTGGACTTTGTGTTTTGTTGCCTGCCTGTTTGGAGGAACTGTTTTACCAGCATTAAGGCTTACTTTTTGTTTAAACCTTCAAACTGTCTACTGCTCTGCATTTGGGTCCTTTCCGAACTGATTCCTGACACCAAAGATTCTTCAAATCTTTCTGTAGTTTGTCTCAGTTGATAGAAAAAAAAATGGACCCTTGCCTTTTAGGTCTGGTTCCTTTTTGTGTTGTGACCAAAGTCACATGGACTGACAGGTGACTCATTCATTGGACCGTTTTGGTGAATTGAATTTGTATAGTGCAGCACTCAAAGTGCTTTTAAACTACACATGCCACATTCTCACACACACACACACACACACACACATTTATTCATACACTGGTGGCCAAAGTAAAAGAAGGCACAGCCATTGGGGACTATTGGGGGTTGAGTATCTTGCCCATGGGTTTTTCCTCACATGCAGAATAGAGGAGCTGGGGAATGAACCACCCATCTTCCCGCTGACCTGCTCTACCTTCTAAGCCACAGCTGCCCCTTTTGATGATGTCATCATGCATCATCAGGCTAAATGAACAGCAGGGCATGTTGCACTGTACTGAACCTGATACTATGTTCTACTATGGTCTTACAAATAACTCAGGGGAAAAAAAAGACTCAAAAAATCATCTTGTAGTCTGCGGGGTTTTGAGGCGATTGTTACTCTGTGGGTTTCACAAATGCTTTAATAAGGGACTGCATAATGACCGATTGCATGTTACCGTTGTTACCAAATTACCTGGCATATGTATATCCTTTACTATAGATTGGCAGATCATTTTTTGACAGTTCACAATGAGCAGATATTTTAGTTAGTAGTTAAGATTTTAAAACTCTGCTAAAATATCTACCATCTCAAATGGTCCATGTCATTGGTTCGACAGCCCATTAGTCCAACTATCCGCGGTGCTGAACGGCTCGCGGCGGGCTTGAGGCAGAGCAGGCTCACGGCTTATGTGTTTGTCACTTTCTTTTTCATTTTCACCCACACCATGATCTTTTCCTGACCCTAACCAAGTGGTTTTTGTGCCTTAACCTAACCAGACCTTAACCACAGGGCGTCATGATGATTTCCGAACGGACTTCGGAACAATGAGTTTAATATGGTCGGAACAATGGGATGTCGAACCAATGGGCTGTCGAACCAATGGGCAGTTCCCCTCAAAATCCTGCAGTTGAGCTGAATCTGACTGAAACCGGACTGAGACCCAAGCCTATCGCTCACACTGGGAGGAGGTCAGGGTGAGACTAGAGATGTACCGATACCACTTTTTCCTTCCCGATACCGATTCCGATCCCTGAACCTTAGGTTTGTGCTGATACCAAGTACCGATCCGGTACCAGCGCGTAAAATACAAAATGGTTGGGATACAAATTGTTGTATGTCTCAACTCCTAAAACTCTATGTAAAATAATAGTAGAATGAATGCCATAAAACTTTTTTTTGATTGTTATTATCCAGTGTTGACACAGATCAAGACACAGGTTAAAGTGCAGCCACACAATTTGGTAAAAAAAGACATTTTAAAGGCTACAGTAGAATGCTTTTTAAACTCTGCTCCGTTTCCGTTTCGTTTGCCGTTAGCGTGTGTATACGTAATGACGTGAGGCATTACGTGGTATGGGATTGGTCATAGACTGTACTCGCCAATACCCAATACAGCATTTTAGGCAGTATCGGAGGCATTTCCAATACTGGTATCGGTATCGGTACAACTCTAGGTCAGACACAGGACCCTGAGGCAGAAGACTGCTGTTCATGTCTCATGTGAAACCAAAAGTCAGCACTGAGTTATTTAAACTTGCGTATGCAGGTAACCTGGCAAACCCACTATGGGCTTATTTATTCTGGTACAACAATAGATACATTCATTTCAAACAATTTAGGCATTACTATATATTATAATCTACATACGCTGAGTCAGCGTTGTAGGCAGTGGTGGTTTGTAAGGCCATTTAATACATCGCTACATGTAGACGGAGAATTCTTTTCACTATTTTTCCGATTCATTCTTACTTTTTTAAAAATGTCTTTGTCATATCCTACAGTCATGTCTCACTTGAACTAGTCTGAGTGGGTGGAAGTTCGCTGCATAGATCAGCCTCTCATTGGGCGGAACGAGCCACACGCTGAAGTCTCCCCCTACCACCTCCGGTTGTGTGCTTTCAACACGTCCTTTACTAACTTTTGCGGTGTTTGATCTTGCGGGGATGTAGCCATTTTTCTGCCATGGTTCGCGTCCTGTAGGCGATATTTTTGTGGCCGTGTTACACCAAAACCTGTTTCCCCCCGGCAATATTTTTGCAAGCACACCGTTGCTGTGGCACCACCCAGAATGATTGTGATTGGTTGAAAGAAATACAAGCAGCCGGGGCGTTTTTTTCTCCAATCTCAGAGGCCGTTTACACGTACATGGTGATTTTGATAAACGGAGACATCATCCTTCGTTTGTGCCCTTCGTTTACACGCAAACGGAGATTTCTCCTCTGAAAACGAGTCTTTCTAAAAACTCCAGCCAGAGTGGAGATTTTGGAAAACTCCGGTTGCACGTTTGCATGTAAACTGAGATAAACGGAGATAAACGGAGTTATAGGCAGTCGACGTCACAGTATGCGCCGGAACTTGCGCCTGTGTCAAAAGTGCGACCTATGTTGCTATGGTGACAATGGATACATGGAAGGCTTGAGCTTCTTGTTACACTGCCACCTACAGGTTTGGCATGCTCTTGTGTATATATACACGGGTAAGTGTAAACTAAGATCTTTTTGAAAACGGAGACGGTGAAATGTCCGTTTATGAAAATAGCCGGCAACGTGTAAACGGCCTCTTAAAGTGAGAGTTGGCCCAGCCAGACCTTTCTTTTCTTGAGAAAGGTCTGGTGAGTGAGACTACACTTGAACTAGACTATTCTACCCCGACAATTCCTTGTGAAACTGCTCTGTTTTGTCTGAATTGATAAGCTTTCAAAAAAACGTGCACAAATATAGATGACATAAAGGCAGAGTAAGGACAGGGGGCTCTGCTTGTGTCTGCTTATCCAGCAATGAACATAAGTGAGCCTTATGTGGAGAGAACTTTTTAGATGCTGTGCACAGTCACAGGGCCCTTGGGTTTCTGGTCAAGACACTACTCCTAAACCCAGCATCTCTTGTTCTTACATTTTTATTTCTAAATATGATAAGGAAGAGTCATCCTTTTGTCCATTTTCTACAGCTTATCCAAGTCCACCTTTGCAGTGGCAACACTCTAGGCAAGGAAACCAGGATGACCCTTTTATCCCAGCTATCTTCTCCCGCTCTCCCTGGAGTGATCTTAGGCATCCCCAGCCCAGATGAATCATTCTCCCTGTTCTGGGTCTACCCCAGGTTCTCCTCCCAGATGATTGTACCAGGAATACGTTCACATGGAGGCATCCACTTCATCATAATCCAAATCGCTCCTGCAGCAAAATCAACCTCCCCAATATTCTCCTCAACCCTCACTCTGCAAATAAATCACTAGATACACTACTTCAGACAGAGCATCAAAGCTAGGCAGCAGCATGACATGAAGTAGTGTATTTATTAGGGGTGTTAGGATCCATTGATCTGGATCGATATATATCAGTTCAGTGATCAACGATCCAGTGTCATCGATGCAAAGTGAAAACATCGTCATCTTCAGGATACACTTTTATTTTGAAAGCCTGTCACTGTCAAACAGCGGCAGGCAGATGGCAAACAGACAAGAGAAAGACGATGAGGGTAACATTTATTTACTCTGGAATAAATCAGCAATTAATCAGCAGTGTGGAAAGAAAAAGGGCTAACAGACAGAGCACATACTGTGTGTAAACAATGCTTATACAAGATAAGACACGATGTAACATTACCTGCCTGGACAGCTATCTGCGTTTACTTCTCACTACAGCAACATTAGCTGTTCAGTTTCAACAATGTTCAGCTGAAAAAACTTTCATGCCAGCTGAAATTCAACCGAGCTGTTCTGTCGGGAGATACGGTGACTTAAGCCAATGGTGAGCAAGAAAAATGATAACGTTACATTTAATCTGTCAAGTTATAAGTAGAGGGAAAATGTCCGCCAGTCGCTAGGCTCATTTATACAATGTAAACATGCTTAAGCTAATAATGGGTGACTAGCAAAAAAACAGTTGTCTATGAACCTTGACAGTTGTTTTTGAGCTGAATTTGATATTTCAGTTAAATGATGTTGTTAATCCATGTTTTATGGCTGTTTGGGAGAAGTTTGCCATCAGGGTTTTCAGCCAGATAGACCTGAAACTTCAGGAAAAAGACGAAGATGGTTTGGGTTAAAATGAAAAGATCTATTTTA